TAAAAGCGTACTCTAAGTAGACGTTTTCCTGTCAAAATTTACGGAGCAAATATAAAAGTGGTCTTAATTTTAAGAATATGCTTCCCAATCAAAGGATATTTTGAGATTTTGCACTTTTGGATGATACAATCGTCTTGTCCTCAATGACGTTGATGTGAGTATTTATACATTCCCGCAAGCAGGTCTTTTCAGCAGCAGTCCAATTAACTTCACGAATTATTTTCACTTCCTGTAAAAACTAAATTATTTACGTTAATAAATTATATTTTACAAATATTTGTTATTTACTTACAGTTTGCTGCGCCATTTTCAAAATTATTTATAAAAGTCCTTTGACACAGGGTGAACTTGCTAAAATCACAAAGTTTTCCTAATGCCGATTGGTTACTTTTTTCATTTTATATTAATGGCCCTGTTTTGTGTCAATCTAGCAAAAACCTGCCTCTAACATGTCTATAACTGACTAAAACTTCAAGCCTGCTCTAAACTTAAAGATTAATTTTAACTAGAAGAGGTTTTAACTTTCGACTATAACTACGGGCCATTGTATATATTATATATATGTATAAGCGGAAAAATTTTTAACATTTTAACGGAGACAGTGGGAATTTCCCGGTATTTTGGCAAATTTTTGCGATCCTAGCAAAGTTTAATAAACCCTTTCAGCTAATCAGCAAAATAAAACTAAATTTTACCTCGAAATTGTGAAGCGAAAGTGCGTTTGTCCTATTATTAGCTGCTTTAATACCTTAAAACTTCCGAGTTTAATGTACAGTGTCGGTACTGTTTGTTAAGTTTCTCTTCGTCTTCTTCCCCTAAACGAAAACCAATTATATATTTAGCGCCCTGCATAAAAAAGTCCTTTTTTCTTTTGTAAAACAAATTTTGTCACACACGTTTGATAACCCTTTCCCATAAGGTAAAGTTGTTTAACAAAGCTTATTTCCGCAAATTCCATTGTCTGATTTCTCGGTCGGGAACCCAATGCAAAATTTTGATAATGCCTCTCGAAAGAAGCCCAAAAAGAACTTCTTAGATGGCGAAATTTTTACGCAAACTGTTGCGCCAAAGACGTCGGAGATAGATATTCACTCGGAAAACCAAGGGGCAGTTCCAAAATAGGTAACACGGAGTGTAACGGCGTCACGTAACCAAAAGGAAATTGAATATGACCCATCTATGAGCGTTTTCATATTTGAGGCTGACAATTTGGTACATTTCTGTACAAAATTTTCTTCACTCCCCATAGATGAACTAACAGTGCCCTTGCTGAAATCTTACCGGAAGGACATAGACGAATACTATGCGGAAGTTAAGCGAGCATATCGAAATATCTCGTTGGCTGCAGATAGCGAACTTCCCCAACGTTCAAATTACTAGCCAGGAATAAAATGGAGCTTTGCCAGGAGCTGGCAAACAACGTCAAGGCCCAAATTTCGGATCTCATGGACGTGCAGATTTCCCAACTGAGCGAAACGTCTCGTCTAGCAGAGAAACCCCCTTTTTCGGTAAAGGAGAATGAAAATACCTTTATGTGCCTGAATGTCCCACCATGTGACACCGAGATTTTCTCCGGAGGTTACGAAGAATGGCCGTCCTTCCATGACATGTTCACGGCAGTTTATATTAATCACTCCAAACTTACCCCTGCCCGAAAACTGTATCATCTCCGATACAAAACAACCGGAAAAGCCGGAGCCCTGGTTAAAAATACGGTCTTTGTGGTGAAAACTTCAGCTTGCATGGAATGCCCTCAAGTCCCGATATGAAAACAAAATAATCCAGGTGGACAAGCAGATTAAAAATCTTCTTACTCTCTCCCAAGTGCATTTTGAAAACAGCGAAGCATTACAGATACAGTGCACTCGCGAAAACTCGAACTAATGAAAACCAGCCCTGTCCGAGTTATCGAAATGTTCGAGTTTTCGAACGTTATGTATTTTTAATATATTTGTATGTATTCGTTTTAACAGTTTTCATACCCTGTCCATTTTTATGGCATAGTTAATCAAAGAGATTCTCTGGTTTCATGTTTTGTAGTTCATTGCCAGTTAATTTAATAAAAAATGTTAGCAAATATGAATGTTGCTTACAAATTATTAGAAAAAAAGCAGTGATCTTGGTTTGATGTTTCTTATTTTCTACCGCATTCAATACAGCCTTTTCGCGCAGTGATTGTAGCACATTAACTTTTCTCGGGCTAATTTTTTCAGCAGTTGCCCATGCTATAGCTTTGTTGAAAATTGTTACGGCTTCGGATGAACTTATGTGTTCTTGTTCATTTCCACCTGTAGCTTCAACTTCACCTTCGGAATCGCTTTCTTCTATAGCTTCAATATGATCCTCTTCAATCAAGTCGTCGTTATTCCAGTCTCTTATTTCTTCTTCTGTGAAAGTAGCCTAATAAATATTTATTATTGTTATCGTGTGTTTTTTATTTACATCAAAACCATAACTACCTCAGGATTTAAGTGTTCGAGAATTTCGGCAGCTTCTTTTTCCATACTTTTAGCTTCAGCTTCCATTTGGTTTTTCAAGACACTAAGTGGAATGTCATCGTCGTCATCGTCTTTCAGGTTTGCAAAGTTTAAAATATTAGTCCAGCATTTCGCCAACGTCTCCTGACTCAATTTATTCCAAGCTCTATCCAAAAATGTAACAGCATCTCTCAAGCTAATTTTTTTTAATGATTGGATCAAATCGCAATCATCGGAGAAAATAGCTGCCAAGAGAGAATTTCGGTAATGTAGCTTCGTTATTCTTATTGCGTTTTGATCCATTGGTTGAATCAAAGGAGTTACATTCGGCGGCATAAACATCACCCGAATTAAACCATCTTCGGATCTTAACGTGTCCTCGTTTGGATGCGAAGGTGCATTGTGAAGCAAAAGTAACGCCTTATCAGGTAGTCCTATATTTTTTAAATAAGTTTTCACCTATGTAATACAAAAAATTGGTTTTTTAAAGGGTGTTTAGTTTGTAGTCAAATGTGAACTTGCCTGTGGTACAAACGAAAAGTGAAACCAATTTTGGAACAGAGTTGATGTCATCCAGGCTGATTTTGAGCTTCGGTACTCCACTGGGCAGCTAAAATGCCTAAATGCACGCGGATTTTTGGCTTTTCCAATGACAGGCATTTTAACCTTGTGTTTCCCAGTAGCATGCGCACACGCCAGAAATGTGATGCGCTGTTTTTCAGATTTGTTTCCCGGTGCCTGCTTTTCCATTCTAGAAACGTATGATTTTCCCGGAAGGAGCTTCCAATATAACCCGGATTCATCTGCGTTGTAAATTTGTTCTGGGCATAGTTCAAGCTCCTGAGTTTTAGCTTGTAACTGAGTTTTGAAAGGCTCCACTAACTCTGGTCGCGAGGATAGTTTTTCCCCTGATATTGAAATCAATCGTATGCCATGCCGTTTTTTAAAATTTTGTAGCCATCCATCGCTGGCAAAGAAAGTTGAGCCATTCTCGCTATATTTGGCATGTAACTCCTTAGCTTTCTCTTTCAACATTAATCCATTTATAGGATAATTCTTGCTGCGTTGTAATAAAAACCACTTGTAAGGATTTTTTTCCATTTGTGGCAATTCTGAAGCGCGAAGCGTTTTACGTTTTCCAGGGCCCGATAGCGTGTTATTAACGCATTCCAAAATTTTGTTTTCATTTTTCACAATTCCACAAATTGTGGACTTGGCAGTGTTATATTTTTTGGATAGAGCTGTGATACTAACGCCATTCTTGGCCTCGTTAATTATTTCAGCCTTTTTTGCTAAACTCAAAACATTTAGTTTTCGTCCCATTATAAAACGCAAATAAATTTGATCTTAACCGCGCAAAATCCCGTATATCACTGACAAATATCAATCAATTTAAAAGAAAAGTTCCGTAATTAGCAAGAAACCTAGCCAGTGCGGCGCCTTAGAATGAAACAAAAGACGCACACAACAACAAAAATTTGAATATCGGCCGTTACAGCACATGCAAAACGACAGTTTCTCACATGTTTTTCCATGAAAAAAGAAAATAATTGTTCGAGTTTTAGAGTAGGTACATTTTGTTCGAGTTTTAAAGAAAAATGGAGAAAAAAAAAAGTTCAAGTTTCCGAATGTTCGAGTTATCGTGTGTTCGAGTTTTCGCGAGTGCACTGTACTTCAAAATTCCATCAACAATTCTCTGTCTGTCTTAAATGCTCAAGACGTCCCGACAGAGAACTGGGACCCAATCCTAGTATACACATGCTAGTCGAAGCTACCCCAAGAAACGTTATCTTTGTGGGAACAATCCCTAAGTTCTCGCAAAGATCTCCCAACCTGGGAACAAATGAATAAATTTCTTACAAAACGATATGAGGTAGTAGAGCGGCCTTAAGGCGAGAAACAAATCAAGCCCGGGTTTGTTCAGAATCGAAGTCACAACAGAACTCAAAACATTTATGTTGAAAGCACCACGACGAACCCCTGTCCTATGTGCGATGCAAATTTAAAAAGTTGTCTGTGCGTGATAGGTATAAGGTGGTCCGAGAAAATCAGATGTATGAAAACTGGTTCTCATTCTCCCACTTAAGAAGTGACTGCTCAAGTCAAAATACGTGCGCAGTTTGCCAGATAAACCATCATTCGTTACTCCATGTGACCACTCACAATGATCAAACCCGGCTCGCAAGCATTCAATCGCCAAACACTAAGGCGATCCAGGAAACCTCAAAACCCGAAGGAAATATGAAATCCGACAGATCAAGGAAACTAAAATAGATCACAAACACCCACAAACGCGGCTAGCAATTCTCAGTCACCCGCCTATACATACAGTCCACAGGTGCAATCCATGCACATAGTAAACGAAGGAAAAACTCTACTTCCAACAGCTCTCGTCTTAATAGAGCATCTCGGAGTACTGCATAAGGTTCGAGCTCTCATCGACCAAGGTTCTCAAAAAACTTTCATCACCTCGAAAGAACAAAATCGCCTAAGACTCCCCACCGAAAGGCTCAATATGAAATTTCCGGAATGGGTGGAAAATTAATTCAAAATTCCAGCCATATATGTTCCTTGAGATTAGTTTCGCCGAAAAATACAGTCGATTGATACACAAGCGTGCGTCCTTCCACAATTGACTAGACTTCTTCC